AAATTCTGCATGGTGAACTTCCCATCTCTCAAAACCCCATAATAAGGAGGCTTTCCAAAAACTTGGAAAAGTGGGAGAGTAACTTCATTCCCTCTTATATATAATAATACTCTAAAAGCAAGTCAAATTCAAGAAGTCACTCTTGCCATGTCCTGCATACTGAATTCCCACCTCTCAAAACCCTATAATAAAGAGGCTTTCCAAAAACTTAGAAAGTGAGAGAGTAACTTCATCCCCTGTAGATCTAATACTCTAAAAGCACGTCAAATTCAAGGAGTCACTCTTTCCAAATCCTGCCAAGAGTAAAAATAAAAAGACAGCATCAACGACCCAGTATTCCTTCCAAATTCAGCACATAATCCCTGAGACTAGAATCTTGCTAATAAGAACATACAATCCAATATCAACAGACACATCAGGCACATATATATTCAAGAAATGTGCCCTCATCTGAGATCATAACTAACCCTCACCCCACAAGAATCAAGATCAAACCGAACAATTCAAAGAGACTGATGTCAGCTTCTTAAAATCCATTGAAAGTCATGTACTAACCTGTCATGTTATTCCTAAGTAGAATAGAATTGCCAAAACAGAGATAACAGACAGAATCACAAAAAAGGGGTTATCAAAGATAATAATTTGATACCAAACATAGTCTTACTAAGTAAATACTTCACCTGTAATAACAAAAATTGATAAACTTTTTCTCCACCCAATATCCAACAAAAACAAAGAACAGAAATGTAAAGTTTGTATTTTTACATTACAAAGAAACAAAATGAACTTCTAATTGACCAGGGTAGGCATTTTTGGTATCCAACCACTGGTAATTGAATAGCAATGGCAACCCCCCAACCCTAACCATGTACAAAAACCTAAGGCGACTAATTCCCTTTTTACTAGAGAAGACTTCCTTACCTGAAGGGATAATACTTAACTTATCGAAGGCCCTTCCATGTTGGGCTTGGCACTGGCACTGTGGGTGAAAGAGGGAGCCCGAACTGACCCGAATTAGGAGAAAACAGGAGGCTTGGGGAGAGCAAAGGGTATGGTGACCGAGGTGAGAGGCACCCAAATGGAACCGGGGATGACGGCAGCTGTGTCTGAATGATTCCCGATGATGTACCCTGTTGCGGCAGCGGAGGCTGTGGAGGCGGCTGCTGAGGGGGCTGTTGCGGAGGAGCTAAGTTGTTCCAACGTGGGGAGACCAGCGGGGCAATCGGCATGAATCCAGAGAATTGCTTCGGATTGGAGTCAACGATAGACATTGAATTCTGAAGGTACCTCATATGAGCCGAAACAGGAGATTCAGCAGCCGCGTGAACGGTAGGAAACGGCGGGAGAGGCGATAGAGGCGCCGCTGGCCGTTGGATGAAATTCCCTATGGAAGCCGTCGCAGCAGGAATCGCAGGGATAGGCTGGGAGCTAGGGTTTACATTCGGCGCGGCGCAATTTAGCAAAGGAGCGGGACGATTGCCAACGTGCACCAACGGAGGAGGGCGGATCCTCTGTAGTCGAGAACTCTGGGGTTTGGGCGGATGAATCGGCGGAGGAGCGGATAACCGCTCGTGAGCCGGCGAACCCGTCAGCTTCTGCACCACATCCCTGAAATCATTCTTATTGATGTTATACACCGGCGGCTGATGCTGCTGCGGCGGCAAATTACTCTGACTCTGAACAAGCACCTGAGGCTGAGGCTGAGCCGGAGCAGGAATCGGAGCAGGCTGGTTCTGGGTCTGAACCAGGTGGTTGGAATCAAAGTGGGGTTTCTTGAGCGAAGCAACGGCAACGGGTTTGGAGATCTTATGGGAAAACTTGTTGAGATGCTTCAGGTACTGATCCCTGGTGGTGGTGGGGTTAGTGTTTACGCCACTGCTATTACTGGTGATGGTGGAAGAATCAGAAGAGGATTGACAGCTTTTATCCATGATGCAAAGAACCAAAAAAAAAAAAAAAAAAACAGCCTTCACCCCCCTTCTCTCTCTTTGATCTATTCTACACTCAAACACCTGTGCAGGGGCTTGTGTGGTGGGGATATAATGTTGTGTGGCGGTCGGCGAGTATGGACAAAGCGAAGAGCCTGCTACTACTAACTTAATGGCATTGCATAGGAGTAGGAAATGATTTTTTGGGGTTAAAAAGATGATGTTCTGAAGACAAAGACTTTATCGGTGTTTTCTGGACAGAGAGAGTGGGATTTTAAAAAGGAAGACGGAATATGTCTTTGTCCCTTCGGCGTTTTTGGCTTCCTCTTTAGTCCTTACCACTACAGTAACTATTGAGAGAGAGAGAGAGAGAGACGACCAGTCAAACCTGCCTTATCTTTCTTTTGCTTTGTTTTTATTGGTGTCGCTGTTTTAAACGGGTCCCCTTTAAAGTACTGGCAGCCTTTGAGTTGACGATGAGTATCAAATATTTTAATTTATGATAAAATTTTAATAGGATGGTTACGAAATCAATTATTCGTGGATTTAAATAG